GTGTCCAACCTGGTTATATGAGATCGAGTGCAGATACCTGTTCACTTTTAATTTATGTTAGGGTGAGCGAAACATATTTTACTTTTAATTTTGATCCCATGATCATCTGTCTCCTCAAACCACACAAGACATTTGCATTTGGTACATCTAGACTCTCAAGTCTAACGTCACTTGACGTCATATATAACTGGTCCAGCATAATCAGTATGTTTAGCTACATAACTATAATTACCCCACCTCTGTTGAAATCAAGGCTTGGAATAAACAAGATTTGCAGAGCAACTGTTTACAACTTAAATTAAAGGTTAGGTAAGGTAATAACGAGAGAAACATTTTTCTCACTTTACTGAAATTCTTTCAAAACTCTCAGCGAGTCCAGCAAGCACTTGAGCAAAGAGAAAATTCAAACTTATACACTGATCCAAACACAATTTTTTCTGCCGCAAGTTTTTGATCCCAGAATGCATTTCTTGCTTATGCTTCACTCTTGCAAGAATAACGAAAAAGTTTAACAAAAAAATAAACTCACTTTGATTAAATGGATATATTGCAGATAAAAAATAAATGTTCTTCATTTAAGTCTTTGGGTTTGGTAATGCAACTTGAATATGACGTCATGTGACATCAGAGTCTAGACGCACAAAGTGTCACGTGCAGTTTGATGAGCCTAATCTAAATTAAAAGTGAATAGTATGAATATCTCTGCTCGCCCTAATATATTACATGTAGGCACTGTGTAAGAATGATGAAACAATATAGCAGAGATAAACAATTTTACAAACCATGGACAATACTGTACATACTCGCCTATAAGTCAGTTTTTTGGGAGTTAATCTTTAGTCCAAAACTCTTTGTCCAACTTATAGGCAAGTTATTAAAAGGTTTGTATTTTAAAGGGATTATCCTCTAATAATTATATGAGTTTAAAAAATACAATTGACTTATAGGCAGACCAACTTATAGGTGAGTATATACGGTACATTAGCATTTCATAGATGGGGTAAATTTGTTACATAGTTTTGTAGTGACAGTGTACAGGATGATACCTGGTTAAAGTAGGGTTAGAAAATTTCATACCTGGTTCAGCTTCTATCACCTCCCTCGGTACATGTAGGTTTAAAAGTATAAAACTCATATTAGTTGTCAAAGATAGTAGTGACTGACACAATATCTATGAAAAAATTCATGTTAGCTGTTTAAGTTAGTCATTCTAAAGACAACAAACAATAGAAATTCATGTTAATTGTCTGATTAGTCTAATTAGGACTTCTTATTGAAAACAATAAATTCCAAGTATCAAAATAATTCCAAATTCAAATAATTGTGCATTGAGCTATCTGTTTATAAAAAAAAATATGTGCAAATTTAGTTAATATTACACATTGTTGTACATGCACCTGTAAACTGTATGGGTTTTTTTTTCATTATCAGGTGACCATGCTACAAGAATGTTTGAAAGTGAATATCTTGGTTTTATTTGTGGGGATTTGTGCAAGTGTGAGGAACTGTACTTATTTAAAATACTGGGACAAATCCTTGAAGAAATGTCAGCCATGTTCTAAGTGCCAGCTACCACAAATTACGGGAACACCATGTACAAATACATCAGATGTGGTCTGTATGGACCTAAAGCATTTAAACTTTGTAAGTATGAACCCTAAATCATGATTAAAGCAATATGAGCTGCAACTTTGATGTCAGAATTTTTTGTTGCAAAATTGTAAATAACTATTTCAATGACAGAAAAAATAACATTAATAAACTAATTGTTCACATTTGTAACAGAAGAACTATTTATAAGCTCCAATTGAATCAAAATTACATTATTGTCGTCCTGTACAATAATGATTTCTTTTATAAAACTGTACATTGGATTGTATATAAAAGTCTTACTTCTGCTTTATTTTAGTCTAATTGATCATAAATGTTTAAGTTACATACAAATTTATCATAATAACACATTTTAACAACCAAATAAAATTTTCAAAAATGCAACATATTGCTTTAAGCATGTTAAGTAATCACTAATGTTATCTCTAAATGTTGTGATATTTATAAAGGTATATAGTACTTGTAGTGTATAATATGTTCAAAATATATAGAAAGATTTTAATAATAAAAAAAAATAGCCGACGGTAAAAGTGTTTTATGATGAGACAGAATTTATCTTTTTAGCTTTTTTGTCATTGACATCATTCATCAGATATAAATATATCTCTGTATGTAGTGAGAAGTTTATTTAAAATTTGTCAGGTTATACATAACAGAAATCTAAATTAATTTTGATTTAATTATCAAAAATCTTTTTCAGACTTTTATAGTGGATGATTCTCCCAAGGTGACATCAAGACTTCCATTTCAAAGAGATCTTTTGTACTTGGAGGGAGAAAATGACACCTGGAGACTGCTGGCATATATCCTTATTGGTGTATTGTGTTTTCTAGTCGTGACTGTTATTGTGAGTCTTTTGGTGTCATGGCACTGCATCAAGAAGAGAAAAGCCACAATGAATAGAAATTATGGTAAATACCTAGCTTTTCTTGCTTATTCTATTATCTTGTGTAGCCAGTGCTTACTAATTTTGTGCCAACAAAGAATGCTGGAATGATCAAGATGTGACTTTAATTTCTTTCTTTGGCAGGGGTTGGGGGGTTGGGGGTGCAATTATCTGTGTGTTTTTGTGTCTTTAGTTTTTGCTTGAATTTGGTACACAGTCATCTGAATTTTACATCACAATTCCTTATTTGTTAAAGTTTGAAGACATACTTGTAAACACAGTGTGCTTGAAGTTACATATAAGGCGATTTTTACATATCTGGAACAAAGATCTTTCATTGTTAAATGCTATTATGCAGGACACCAGACACATAGTCATCATCTTGCAGTTTAGATGTGTGTTTATTAATATGTGCTGCAGCTAGTCTTAATTCCACCGAAATTCTTATTTTCACTTTCACTGCCAATAACATGTACATGTATATGATTGTATCTTTATCATGTTTATGTTAACAATGTTGTATTTCATCAGGTATTATAAAATTTTATCTAGGGCATTTCAATTGGCAACTTGAAAGCGCAATCTGGAAAATCTCTCTTCTTGTGGCACCATCCTCAATTTTTTGTTTAATCAATTAGAGAACATTTTAGAGTTATCTTTCTTTGCAAAACACTATCTGTAGGGAAAGAGAAAAGAATTTAAATTTACTTACCAGTAAAGACTAGCAGTAAGCTAGTTCCACACCTTGAAGCAATAAATCTTCCAAATTTTTATTTAAGTACATGTATAAGTTTTCAAAATATTTTTGAAAGTACACGTAATACATGTAATCATGTAGTCCGAAATATCTGACGTTTTCCTTGCTTTGCTCACAGGTACTTGTGGACAGGACACCCCCCCCCCCCCCCCCCCCCCGATATTCAACCCCGGGGCTTATTTGACATTTTTTTCACAATTTATATTTAGTACACTTATTCAACATGTTTGCAAAAGGAACAAATCGTCAAAACCCCAAAAATAATCGCTCCACAAAAAAATACCCCACTATACATTAGTGGGGTATTTTTTTGTGGAGCGATTATTTTGGGGTTTTGACGATTTGTTCCTATTGCAAACATGCTAACTACGTGTACTAAATATAAATTGTGAAAAAATTGTCAAATAAGCCCCGGGGTTGAATATCGGGGGGGGGGGGGGGGGGGGGGGGTTCCTGTCCACAAGTACCTGTGGCTTTGCTTTATTGCTTTATTTACGATTTTGATATTTTACGTGCCAAGAAAACGTCAGAATTGGCGTCAGTACGAAAACTGGGAATTCACCGCCTCCAACCGGAGGCCTCATTTTTCGGGTTGACTTTATACTAAATACTTGCAAACCGAATCAAATGTCAAACTCACAAGTTATCAACAGAACTTACCAATGTCGTTTTTAGTTCATTTATAAAATATGCAATCCATGAAAACATTTTATCAGACTGTCGAGATTTGTCTTAATTGCAAGTCATGGAATGAAATATTGAGTGATGTTTTCTTTTCATCGATGTTGGTGGATACTAGAAGCATTGTGCATTTGATAAATTCTGATTTCGGCATTTAGTTCGGTTCGCAAGCATCAAAAATCACCTTCGGTTGGAGACGACGAATTTTCCAAATTTCGTAATCGCGCCAAATCTGACGTTTTCCTGGCATGTAAAATATAAAAATCGTAAAAAAGCCTGGAAAACTTTTAAGATGTTTCGGACAAGTACTAGTATAATGTGTTATTAAAACATGACACGTTTCTCATGTTTAGTTGAGGGAGAAGGGGAGTATGTGGTCATTTGCCGACTTCCTGATTTAGTCAGCCACTCCCCGCCTACAGAGATGCCCGGATCCCCGCCACAGAGTCCCCACAGACGCTCCTCACGACGTTCCCGGTTTTACCGAAACCACAGAATCTATCGCCCACAGAGACGTCTAATGAATGAGTATGTGGACGATGTCTTTGAATCGGAGGATTCCGGAGGATCGAGATCCATTCGGATACCCCTTCACACGATTCCAGAGGATATTTGAGATGTCTGCTTCATAGGAAATAATCAAAATGTTTAGTATATAATTTCTGTAGACTGCGAAAGATTTTTTTAACCAAGTAGGAATTAATTAAAAGTTTATATGTACAATTTTATGAGTTCCATTGGCGTGCATTTGCAGTATAAAAAGAATCTCGCCTCTGATATATATCCAAAGTCCGATAGTATTAGTATTTTGCCATATGTCTGATCTCAGTCTTGCATAAATAGACATTTTTACCTTTATTTGTAAGGTAGGGAATTTAGTTTTGGTGTACATAAAAAGCATAATAGAGAGTTTATTTAAAAAAAAAAAAAAAAGGTGATTTTTTCATGTAATTTTTCACAATTGGCATTTTCCTTAAAACAGAAAATTGTTGATTTTATCTAAATACGAGTATACCATCAGGTTAAGATCATTGGATAATTCAGCTTTTCTGTTGTTAGAGTGGAAAAAAATTAAGATAAACAAGAAAACCAACTTGTGTAAACAGGGAACTATACGTACATCTAAGTATGCTTACCTAATTGGTACCTCCAACGTAACTAGAATTTTATAGGGCAGACAATTAAAATACAATGTATTGGATAGGTCACAAGATAACACAAGTATTTTAAGATCATCGTTATTTTTTCATTGGCAATAAATGCAGGAAGGAACTTAATTAAGATTATCAGTACCATTAATTTTTCCTTCTTAGCTTTTTTTTTCAAACGTAATTCTGTTTTTTGCGGCTTTTTTAAAATTACATTTTGACGATGTTGACTAACACTGATGCACGATTTCTTTGAAAATGAAAAGGATCAAATCTAGGATCAGTCCTGCAGCTGCATTAGTTCAGTATCGTGTACATTTTCTGTTAATTAATTAATTACACGTATACTAAGATACAGGTAATTAACTGGGACTTATGAATTTTTGCTTGTCTTATTTAGAAAAACATGTACATAAGACAAACAATAAGAGTTTGATACATGTATGTTTATTTGTATTTTGACTATATGCAAGGCGTACAATTTTACAAGATATTTCAAGGATAATAAATATTTGCCCGGTTCTGTTTAAAGCAAAAGAAACAATCTCCTTTGTACATATAAATAGCTTTTTACTCATTGAAAACATCAACGTTTCGATCCTTATTTGTGTAAAAAAGCAAAAATTTCTACTTAAGTTATTCATGGAAATACCTGTCATTTATATGATTATAAGTAAATATGGTTTTTTTATACTTTAATTTTTGAAGAATCACATGCAAATAAGTCAAATTTTTTCAGCATTTTAAAAATGACAAGAAATGAACTTCAGAAAGATTGTAGTTTTTTTTATAGTTTCAATTCTAGTCCAAGATTGTATACATATAACGTAGTACCATATTGTGTTCATGATTAACGTGTATATCCGAGACAGTATGATTGTTCAAATTTATTTGTGCTTTTTAACTCATAAACAGTAACTTGCAGTAAAATTGCTTAAACCAACTGTAGATGCTTTAGTCACAATTCAGCCAACACCATTTTCTTTTTATTTTGATCCTTTGCCATATGATGCTAGATCTATTAAAATGAAGTATAGTTATCTCTGACTTTGGTAATTCTGTGTGGTGCAATTGTTTAAAAGTTGATCTGCTTTGGTCAGCACAGTTTCAATTTTTTTGATTATTGCTTAGGTCACATTTATGTATAATGGTTGTATCAGAATTCGTATTTTCTCCACTCTGGTGTGGGTTTTTCTCTCTCTATTTTTTCATCAAGCTTTCACTTTGCAAGCATCTATATTTTCTCTCTTTTACTTGATGTGTTGTTAACAGTGTCTGAAAAGAATTGATCATGGAGAAGGGAGATTTTTATGTCTCCTATTTCAATTTTGAATGTTGTACTTTTTGTGCTTTTGTATATTTTCTTTTTGACGAATACAGTCAGATTCATTTATCATGTTTATGTTGTCCAGTTCTATCTCACACATTTGAAACTTAATCATTTGCATATGTTTTGGGGAAAAAAAGATAATGGGGTCTTTTTCTATATTTTTCCATTAGCTGAGACTCATGGTTTACGGTCTGTACGCTGAATTATTTTAGTATGTATTATTTAAATGAACAAACGCCTGTGGCGATTTTAAGTTGGATAATAAACCATGTATTATAATTTTTAACTGATAAACACATTTTTTTTTTGTTTTTACTTTCTATTGGCCAATACTAAGCAGCTGTATTGTGAGCTTCAATTTTTTATTACTTTTTTTTGGTCTTAAACAGATGCAGGTAGCTATTAGTTTTTTGTAGATCTCTTGGTTGTATATTATAATTGAAGTGTTCATTTTAAAAATGCGTTTTCTGCTATATGTTATATTTAGTTTTTTTGCCATGTTTCTGTTTTTTTATTGTTTAATAAATTGGTGCACTTTAACTGCAAACACCTAATGGATTTTCACTTCTAATACTCTGATGAAATATAAAGATAACGACAGTTATGAAGCTCAAAAGTCCCGTGGAACAATATAAATTCGGAGCAGAGCATACATAGATCTTTACACACTTCAGAGGTGGGATCAGGTTTTCATGGAGCAGAAAGCAAATCGTCGACCGATAATCATTATATCGACTTTAGCATATAAGAAATGTTGCATTTAAAACTATTCTTATTCGTGAAAAGCACTTGATGTGGCCTTCAACTCGACATTTAGATATATTGACGACGTATTGTCAATCAATAATGATTAATTGTATCGTATGAATTGTATTCATATGTCCATACGATATATCCTGGTGAGCTTGAAATAGAAGACGACAACAGAACCGGACACATCTGTTTTATATTTTGATACTTTACTTGAAAAGGACGTTAATGGCAAATCTATAACATCCAAGCTCTATGATAAACGTGATGACTTTAACATCTCTATCGTCAGCTTCCCTTACTTATGCAGCAACATACCTTCTTCACCTGCATACGGAGTTAATGTCTCTTAGTTGATTCGATATGCAAGAGCATGCTATACATATGTGCAATTTCTGAAACGAGGTAAATTATTGTCAAACTAGTTGATAAAACAAGAATATCATCAGTCTTGTTTAGAGTCATGATTTCGTAAGTTCTATGGTCGATTCAATGGCCTTGTCAGCAAATGCAATTTATCATTGAGTCAAATGCTGACTGACGGTTTTCATACCAATTGTTAGATCATTATTTACACACTTAATTGAAAGCGGTTTTTTCTGTTATTTGCCGATCATGACAAGGAGCACTCGGAAGATGTGACCGGTCACCAGAGGATGCTCACTCTTCCATGGTACCTGATCCCACCTCTGATGTTTGAAAGGTCCGTGTTTGCTCTGCTCCAATTTTGTATTGTTTAATGCACTTTTGAGCTTGAATACTGTTCTTTATCTCCATTATGTATATTTCATAATACGGGATACAGATAGTACCCATCCGCAATGGATCCAAGCATGCACGTTGTTCTAAGATTGATCCTAAAAGCTACATTATGTTAGATATTGTAAAATATCACATTTTGAATAAAAACCTCAGAATCTGTGTACTTTTGTTTAAAACCAGAAGTTTTTATTAAATAACTTTGTAGATATCCAATGACGTTATGATTGTCATTAATATTTTTATTGAAACAATTATAATCTACAATGTAAAAAAGCTCGGAGTACAATTTATCATTGGAATTTGGAATTGTACATGTATTTAGTGTTGAAAAGTCGGACGTTTTGATGTGATCGATTGTTTTGGTAAATTATTTGGTAAATTATGTGGCTTTAAATTTTCTCAAAATTCCTATATTAAGTTTCTTAAAGCTAGTAACTTCATCTGATTAAAACCGATTCTAATCAAATACGAAATCTACATCATGCGTCACTGTGTAGGTAGGCGCAAGTTTACTGGTATTTTACATGTCGCACCCACTGACCAGGAATGTGAAAAATTCGTTATGAAAACACCCCATATTTATTATCATCCGCACCCTTGTATTTTTCACATTAAAATATTATATAAAGAGAGATATTTATGCATTGCAACGTTCTCAGTGTAAAAATATCTACGTACAGTTGCTCAATTGAAGATGCAGTTTAAAATTAAAATCTTGCGAAATATCTTCATTATCTTCGATTTAAATGGATTTGGAGAGTAAAATAACAGGTCTTTTAGAATGACAGAATTCAACATATTCCGGTAGAACAATCTTGTACATGGTGTAAAGAAACTGAACTGAAGAAGTTGGGGAAAAGATTTTGACATTTCAATAATTTTTTCATCGTTTGCGGCTTGCGTCATAGAAAATGAAAAGTAATATACAATATTCATTTAAAGCGATCTTTAAAAATACATTAAAACAGGACTGACACAAATTTAAATAAACAATCATTGGATGACATCAAAAACTCTAAAGCAATCAGCAGTGTGGTCACCAAAATGAATGCAAATTATGGCATATAAAAAACTGTCCTGGAGGTCAAAATAAGATGAATAGCTCAAAGACATCATCTAAAATGTCAATAATTTCTAGATAAAATAAGTTTCTGAACAAGCTTTTATTACATTCATTTCAGTGTGAAATGATATTTGTATACAGAAAATTTGAAAAAAAAAATATTAACGTGATGAACTTCAAATGTGTGTCTCCTAATTTAAAGCTGCCTTCATAAATGCGTAGAATTGATGTGTCAGTCATATTGGATGAGGATACTTCGATCGCGCTATTTGCATATTAAATAGATTTCTACAAAACCGTATCACACAATGCCTTGCGGGAACGTATTGATATTTTGATTCTCTGCCTCCACATCATCGCCATGTCCGACATCTTAGCACAACCGTGTGTAACATGGCTCTGACACCAAACATTCCAAACCCGTGCGACTTCCGGCGTTGCTTCACATCCGCGTACGATGTCGTTTCCTGATGACTGGTGGGCTGAACAACCATGGAAAGAAAGCGACTAAAACCATGGGATTACATCGCGCTCGTTATTGTTATTTTTGCCTTTCTGCTACAGGTGGCGGGGTATTTCATACCCACATGGTGGTCCTACAATGACCCCTCGGCTAGACATACCATTGTTGTGTCAATGCTAGGCTCGGTTGAGAATGAGGCTGATGTGGAGAGAACCAAAACTGTGATTGAGATCGAAGGAGGAAGGGGTGAGTCTTCCGTTTATTTTTATTTTGATACGTCATTCTACATTGATACTGGGGACATATTTTTCCTCTTCAGAAAATAAAATATTCGTGAAATAACCGTACACTCGTCTAGCAAGACAGTAATGTTAATTGCTTCCTTTCAAGTAAGCGATACTTTAAATCACTTCCACTGTATTAAGAGATTAACATAATGATGTACCAGTCATTCTTTTGTTTGATCTCTGACATTTTATACTGAGTACATGTTTTGTCGCCCAATGTTCATCTTT